TTAAACACAGTGATGGTAACACAACCTATTTTCACGATCGTGTTCTCAAAGAGACTGAGAAGCCTATTGTGAAACCGCCATGGTAAAGTCCGCTAATTTAGCGTCGGTTAATCGCGACTAATCGTTACTCTCCTAACCTGATGCAACAACGAGACAACGAACAACGATCCAGGCGGCGAGATCGCGAAACATTCTCGCCATTTATGCGTGTTACATCGATGTGACGATGCATAATTCATGTATTGTTATTACTGTTATTAAGATTATTGGCGGCTTCCTTGGCCGGGGTTCAACTTGGGTTCTCGTTGAAAAATCGAATTGATCGTAAGACATCGTGATTAGGGTTTTAGACGGTCAGGGATGGGTAATTACTAGATTATTAAATCTCCACCTACGCACACTAGAAATCTCCAGAGTAATGACTTCTTATACATCCTACGCGTGTATGTTATATGGTCGAGATGAGAACGAATTTTTCGTTCGATATGTACTCGTTGCCGTTGCTCGCCAGAGATGCGATGGAAAATTTGAGACAGTAAGAGATTGAACAGATGTACTTCACTTTCCTGGAAAATTGTCAATTTTAATGCCAACAATAAAATTGATAAAAAAATTGATTTCATAATGAAACGATAAAGGAAAAAAAATACAAATGATTTATACAAGATATGATTGTTGTTAAAAACTTTTGAAAGATTTTGTTAAAACTTTTGAAAGATAGAATTTAAATAAAATTTGAATGGAATAATTTGTCTCGTTTCTTCGTATTCCGTATTGTTCATGTATGAGTCTGCAACATATCAGGTAAAAGTCAAAGTCGCCTCTTACATTGGATTACGAAATAAGAGGTCACCTATGACGTCATTCACTATTGGTAAATGGCCTTGGTTGAAGAATTGATGTTAAACGTAAAGTAGCCGAAATATTTGAATGTAAGCTTAACAAAACCTATACGTCACCATTTTTGCGCATGAATAAGGATGTTAATACTTTTTTGGAACAGGAAAGTATCATTGTTTTCTTAAAATGAATCATCTGTTCCGTTTTTGTCAATCCCGTTATTCACGTCAATCATTCTGCAATATATTTTAAGAGGGAAAGAAAGAATTTTAATAGAATTTCGAAATTGAATACTTAATGATACACACTCTTTGTTATACACAATCCATTTTGAACGATATGATACATTTCGGTGTTAAAATAAAGAATTTTTCAAAAAATGGCTTCAAAAATGATTCATATTTTTAAACACGCGAATAAACTTGCTAATATTTCAATATCAAAAATAACAACAATTCACGCGAACTCGGATGACAAATCAAAATCGTTCGAACGAACAACGCGTGTTCCAATGAATTTGTATTCTATCTGAATAATACATGCGTAGCATGATGACAACAGCGAAAAAATAGTCATCTGTTTGATTATTCTGGGATATTCGCGAAAACACGAACCGGTCGATACCAAACGTTAAGTGTAATATCCTATGCATGTAGAATTTCGTATGACGCGCGAAAATTGCTATTCAGAGGGCGACAAATTTTGTTTTTTCTATTTTTTTTTTTTTTTTTTTTTTTTT